GAAGCTTTTTTTTTTTTTTTTTTGCCAACGTGCTGTGTAGCTTGTGGGATCTTAGTTCCCCAACCAGGGACTGAACCCATGCCCTTGGCCGTGAAAGCACGAAGTCTTAACCACTGGACCGCTGGGGAATTCCCCAGAGAAGCTGGTTCTAATAACACAGTCTCATCAGGGACACTTATTATTTCCTCCCATCAAAAAAGAAACAAAAGACAGAGAGACATCAATGCTCAATAGTCACAGAGTTGCTCCAGGAAGCTGAAAACAAGGAGAAAGTCAGCCCGCTGAAACATTAACATTCACATCAGTACCAATGGGACAGGGTGGAGACACGCAAGTTTGCCTTAAATAAAAGAAAATGGTTCTCAGACCTTTAAGCCCGACTGCAACCCGCCCAGATGTATTAATTCAACAAGGAAGGTTGGTCAGCCTAGGGGCATGGCAAAGGGAGAATTAGCCAACGTAATGGTTGACAGCGGCCACTGAATCTGTGTAGGGGAGAGGGAGCCTTGACTAACAACTCGCAATACTCCTGTCCAATGGCAAGTCCATCCCATTGAGGAGATGGGTAAACCAGGCTCTCTCAGCCTGATGCTCATAAACCTTCCCCTCACGCACATGGGTTCTCCATCCCGGCTGAGAATCAGCCCAGGCCAATTAAGTCAGAATCCTTGATGGTGGGGCCTGGGCCTCTGTATCTTTAAAAGCTACCCCAGATGATTCCGATGTGCGGCCAGCATTGAGAAGCCCTGATCTGACTAGTTCCCCTGGCTCTGACTCCATGCCCACCATTGCCTGTGTTCTCATGGGTCTGCATCGGCCCGTTAAACCGGCATTCTGATTCTGCACATTAATCCAGAGCTTGGTTAATGTGAAGGCTTCATTGAAAGCTGGTTTTCTCTCAGTGTGCTGGTGAAATTAAGCCAGCAGGACTGAGGGTCAGCCCCAGAGCCATGATGAATCTACTGACGTGATGAAATGTTGCTTCCAGAAGCCTCGTGGGTGAGGACGCCCTGGGGCATCGCCTCACTGGCCAAGAAAACTCAAGTCCAACTTGCTCGCGCCTATATTTTACACGGATAAAGTAATAACCCAAGAAACAAAGGATGGATCCTCAAAACGGCCAGACACAAATTCTCTGAGAGCTGAGCCCTAAAGGATCACATCTATCATTCTTCATGTCTCTTTAGCCCTTTATCCTTTATGCCATGGACATAGTTGATCACCTACCCAGCATCCATTGCCCACATCTGCTTCCGAACAGAACCCCAGTTGGGTCTGGCTAATTACCCCTCCTCCCTTGAAGACCTATGCCTTAGGCGAGCTGGCTCCCCCGCAGCTCCTGGGGCACTCTGATTTGCTTAAGTCCAATGCCATCCTCTTTGCCAGCTTGTGTTCAAGAAGGGACAAGCGGCCTGATCTAGTCAATGAGACACAGGAGCTGGTGTTGTTCAAAGCTTTCTAATGAAGCATAACACACACACAGCAAAGTACACGTCATGTGTACAGCTTGCTAACTGTTCACGGACTGAGTATCCCTGTGTAGCCACCACCGGAAAACCCTCCTCTACCCCCTTTCAGTCACTGTCCCCTCAAGGATAACTACTATCCTGATTTCCAACAGTGTAGAGTCATTTTACCCATTTCATACTTCTTTATGTAAATGGAATCAGTGTGTATTCTTTGTTTCTGGTCTCTTTTGCTTGCATTAGGTGTGTGTGAGATTCACTCTTGTGTGTAGTTGTTAGTCGTTTACTTTTATTGTTGTATCCTACTCCATTATGGAACAAGCCAAATGTATCCATTCTACTGTTGATGAGTATTTGGCTGCCTTCCAGTTCAGGAGTATTACAAATTGCACTGCTATGAACATTTTAGTGCATGTCTGTTGACAGACATGTGTACGCATGTCTGTAGGGTACATACCTAAGAGGAGTTGCTGGGCCAAAAGGTATGTGTATGCTCAATGTTAGTAGATACTGAAAACTGTTTTCCACGGTGATTGTACTAATTTACCCCCTGTCTGCAGTGTGGGAATGTTCCATGTCCTTGTTAACACATGTCTGTCTTCATTGGTACCATTTGGTGGGGATATAGAAGAGATTCTAGGAGTTTTGCTGTGGGTTTCAAGTTGATCCTCCTCTTTTAGAGAGCTGTAGAAAGCCAGCCAGCTCTCCCCGTGAATATGAATGAGAAGCAATAGCCCAAAGGATTACTAGGGGCCAAGTGCAGCCAATTGCTACCAAGTAAAAAAAGAAAGGACTTGGTGACATCATTGAGCTGCTGGATCAACAACTCAATCCTCTTCCTTATTGTTTTAGGCCGGTTGCTTTGGTTTTTCCATTTTCTGTATTGGAAAGCATCTGCAGTGTTACCTTCAAAAAGCACTTGAGTCTCACAACATCCTTGTTTCATTTTTCTGATGAACCAATCCTCAGTGAAATTCAATAGTGTTGGGATTTCAGATGCCCAGCTTCCTGTTTTATCACCCACACTGTGCATTGCCCCCTCTCCTAGCAGGCAGTACAACTGTCATCTCCCATTTTGTGAAAATGTCTGTGAGTCCTTTGACAACACGGCTGCCGTTTTTCAGTGATACCAAGTTACGTAGCTAAGATGCAGATAGACAGACCACCTAATGGAGGGGGCAACCATCTTTTGAAAACAGAGCATTAGCAGCTGTCTCCTTTCTATGCCCTGTTGTGAGGAAACTGTCAGCTACACGAAGTGAATCCCTGGTCTTCCAGGGAAGAATGGACTGGCGACTTTTAGTCATAAATCACTAATGAGGAAATGAAGATGGTGAGAAGAGCAGAAGCAAAAATTATAGTAGCAAGTTCATCTTCCAGCCAGACAGACGCAGGGGCTGTGACTATCAGCTTCCCGACTTAGAAACCCAAGAGTATTTCACCTAGGTTTGTAAAGGTACAGTCCACTAATATAAACGTACAATGGAGCAGTGGAAGATAGTTCAGTGACCTGAAACATCTCCTCACTATAAAACAGTCTTTGTGATTCAGCCTAACCGCTCTGCTGATCGACACACAAGATTGTGAAGCACTCTGCAGTTAGCTTATTCTCAGGCCAGGGGGAGGAGGCAGAAATCAACACGGTTCCCTTCCATCCGGAGTGAATTCATGGTCTTCAAGATCCAACCCAACGAATGAAGTTGCTCCTGGAGCAAAGATTCAAACGCTTGAGTAGGATGCGGGCAACCAAAGCGTTCGTGTCACTTCCCCACTTAAACCCTCTGATGGCTTCACTGTGGAGTTCTAATGAAACCCATACTCCTTAGTGTTCAAGGTGCTATATGACTTGGCCCTGCCTCTCTCTGACCATTGTGCTCCAAACATGCTGGTCTTCTGCCTGCTCCTTGAACGTACCATGTTATTATGGCCTCTAGGGGCTTTGCACGTACTCTTCCTCTTCTGGAACTTTCCTCCCCAGATCATTGTCTAGTGGGCAACTCATTCTTCCCCTCTCAGATATGACCTTCTCCAAAGGCCTTCCTTGACCACCTTCTCTGAAGCAGCACCCCATCACTCTATCATGTCACCTGGTTTATTATCTTGCTATAGCACTCATTGCGCTATGTACTCACTTGTTAATTACCTATAAGCCCCATGACATCAGGGACCCGTACTGTCAGGTCTCCTAGGGGGCTAGATTAGATAGATTGTGAAAAAAGCTACTCCATGTGATCGTGAGATTACATGTTTTAAAATGGGCTTTCCCACTCAGTAATTTTATGACAAATATATTGGTCAGCAATATGTTGCTGATTAGCCCCTGGGAAGCCATTAGGCTTTTGAAAAAAATCTGATGATGAGCGTGATACATGTTCTTCTGAATATGTACACACACAGGATTTTTAGTCCAGGGTGGACTGTACAAAAATGACCACTACCACGTCAAAGATAGCTGTGCAATACACCTGCCATCCTTACGCACGGGGTGAGTGAATCGTCACTAGAACCCCCACCTTAAACAAACCTTCTGGTTCAAGCTTCCCGTTTGACTGATGAGGAAGCTTGAAGTGCAGAGTTAGCAATTAAGTTTCTCAGAGTCACAGAGCTTGTTAGTAACAAAGTCAATCTAGGCTCCAGGCTCCAGACTCCTGCAGGGTCCTTTCGTCACACCGCAACACAGCAGGTAAGTCCAGCCATTGGCAATGGGCACACCTTCCCATCAGAACAGCAAAGCACAGGGGGGAAGCTGCGGGTGCCCTGCCCGCAGGCAAGGGACTGCAGGTCCTCACAGCTCTCCCTCTGGCTGCAGGAGAGGGAGACAGAGAGGAACGAAGACAAGCCCAAACCAACAGCTCCTGGGGGTCCTGACACACGGCTTCTCCCAGCATCTTCACCTTGGTGCCGCTCGGCCCTAAGGCCATCTGCCCCCAATCCTCAGCAGCAGCCCAGCCTCAGAGATTCCCACCGAAGCCCAGGGGCCTGAGTACCTCAGGGGAGATGCCAAGGCCCTAGCTGCCCACGCTCGAGGGCGAGTGGTGTCTCCCCAAACCAGGTCTCGGCAAGGCCTGAGCAAAGAGCGCGGCGCGGTAGGCATGGGGGGTGAGGGTGGAGGGGGTGACAGGAAGGGAAGGGAGAGAGAGGGAAGAGCAAAGCAGGGACTAAAGCCCCGCGGGTCCCTGTCTCAGGATTTGAGAACCTCGGCTCAGCTTTCCAGGGAATGGAAAACAGCTCTTCGCCTCGGCTCCCTGGATCTATCCTTGACCCCACCCCCACCCCGCCCACCGCCCCGCGTGCGAGCCAGAGAGCATCAGCCAAGCCCCGCCGGCCTGCCGCCCGCAGGCCGGGAGCGCAGGCCGGGAGCGCAGGCCGGGAGCGCAGGCCGGGAGCGCAGGCCGGGAGCGCAGGCCGGGAGCGCAGGCCAGGAGCGCAGGCCGGGAGCGCAGGCCGGGAGCGCAGGCCGGGCCGGGCCCCAGCGCGGCGTGGGCGGGGCTGCTTTCCAAAGCCAGGCTCTGCCGCCCCCCGCCCCGCCCCTACCTGTAGTAGCGGTCATCTCTGAAAGGTGTGAGGTCCTCCTTCAGCTCCCGGTACGCCTCCTGGAGCCGCTTGCACAGGTGCTTGAGCTCGCTGCAGAGCGGGGGCTCGAAGGCAGGGTACTCGGCGTCCATGCCCGCGCCGCGCCCGCCAGAGCCGCCGCCGCCGTCCTCGCGAGCCCCGGCGTCCCCTTCTCCCGCCGCTCCGCCCTTTGTATCGCTTCCTTCGCACCCTCTCTCTTGCCAGCTGCGGGGATCGGGGCTGCCGGCGGGGCGGGACCGAGGGGGAGGTGGGAGGGGGCGCGGAGGAAGGGGATGCCCGGCGCGCTCAGGGCGCCAGCGCTACGACGCTGGGAGGCGGCCCCAGCAGGGTGGGGATGGAGGTCCCCGCCCCACCGAGGGGGGCCTGAGGAGGGGAGGGCGCCGCGCCCATCAGCCGCCGCCCAGCGAGGGGGTAGAAGGAGAGGCCCGGCTGGGGGAGGCGGAGCCCAGCACAAGGTCGTCTGCAGCCCAGGACAAATATGCAAAGGGCCGCCCTTGCTACTGCTCCTGTTGGGAAAGGGAAGAAACTGGACAGGGGGACAGAAAGGAGAATGGGGCTTCGGGGCGGACCTAGAGCCTTCTCGATGGGAAGGTCAAAGGCTGGCGCGGGGTCTCGCGTTCAGCACCACGGACAGCTCCCGGAATGCTTTCCCTTCTTCCTGGGTTCCCCCTTACCTGATGCAAAAACATTTTAAACGACACCCATTACGGTTATATCTTAATGAATATCTTTTAATGATAAAGAAATGTGTCCAAATGAGATGCCTTTTCCCATACGCTCTAAAGCCACCAAAAATAAAAAATAAAGTCTGGGCAAAGGCCTCTACAAACAAAGCTCAACACTAGTGTGTCAAATGAAACTCACAAATCAACACGTCCTCCGTGGGACTACTTACCCAAAGATGGTGTCATCTCCTCTTGTGAATTTCCCCAATAACACGTGGAGAAACGGTTGTAATGTCACTGTGCTTCCATATGAATTCAGGACAGGTTTCCATGTGAGGTTGGTTGCGTATGCAGCAGAGGAGCCTTTACAAATATACGTTTTGGGGGTCCAACTTACCCCATTGAATCTAAATTATAGAATATGGTTCCCAGGAATCTGTATTTTTCAAAGCTCCTCAGGTGAGTCTAATGATCACTCACGTTTAGATAGTCTCAGAATTCCTGTATTTCCTGCTACTTTTACCTATGTTCTAATTTCACCCACTCTTCCTTGCTCTGTTTTTTATCATCATGTTTTATTTCCTCCCTCCCCTTGCATTTTGGAACAACTTTTTTGTCGGCTGGCCAAGCTGTCCACTCAGGTCTTGCAAATATTCCCCTAACTTCTGATCATCCTGCACTGTGCACAGTTAGGTTTTAGTCCTAATTCAAAAATGTGAGCATTGTATTTAACCATCTCAGGAGGACAAAGAATGGCGCTAAGACGAGATCTGTCAGGAAACACACATGCAGATTTGTTTTCTGTAATGTGGTAGAGATTATGAGACCAGCATATGCCATATTTCAATTATTTTATGACTGGCTACAGAGAGCTTATCACTAGGGGTAATATTAACTAACCTCAGAGATATCCCAGAGCACTTAAAAATTCTCCAGGAATCCTCCTCTAGCTTCTCCAGCCTAAGCTTCGCCCCCCGCCCCGACTTTGAACTACTGTAGCCCCTAGAGGACAATGCAAGTCTTCTGGCTCTAGCACTGTGGGGTACTCATCTACCTCGTTACTTCTTTTACCACAAAGAGCTGGAAATGCTAGATAAAACAGCACACATACGCAGGTGCGTGTACATATGTAACAACTGCGTAAATGTCACACACACTTGAGCCAGGTAGTATACTGTAATTACTTTTCCTCTTCTGTACATTTCCTCTAGAATTAATAATTATATTTTACTGCTTAGTTTTCTATGTACTGACTTTTATTTCAACCTCCGGTCCCCCACCAATTGTCTAATTAATTCCCCTCTTAAGCTATTCAGGCACAAGATGCATTCTACCAGTTTCATCTTTGCAAAATCTCGTCTTGGCCTTCTGACCAGCCGTGAACTGGTTGTCCTATGCCTGGTGCATAGCTGTCATCTAAGCCCTCTCTTTACCATCAACCTGGGAATTCTCTCCCCTCTGTTCTTTGGACCCAATGTCTGTCTCTTTATTGGAGGAACATATCTTCTAGAAGACAGCTGAGAAAGGAGCCATGGAATGCAATTTTTTGAGGTCTTAAATGTAGAAAAATGTCATTCGTTCACCCTTACACTTTCTTGGTAGTGTAGCTAGGGACAGAACTCTAGGTTGGAAATAATTTTCCCTCTAAATTTTGAAGGCATTTCTCCATTGTCTCTCAGATTCCAATGTTTCTACTGAGAAGTCTGAAGCCATGAGAAATCCTGATCCTTTTTATATATATATATTTTTCCTCTCTGAAAGCATACAGAAGCTTCATTTTGTCCGTAGTATGATGACATTTCAAGATTACGTGGGGCTGTTCTTATCCACTGGACTGGACTTCGAGCGACTTTTCCCGCTAGCAATGCAAGTACTTCTGTTTGGGGAAAGTTTCCTGATTGTTTCCTTGATAATGTTCCTCCCTCTGTTTTCTTTATTCTTTCTTTCTGAACTCCTGTTAGTTGGACGTGGCCATGCCGAACTGTTCCTCTAATTTCTTTACCAGTTCTCATTTCTTTTTCTGTTTATTCTGCTTTTCTTCAACATTGTGTTCCAGTCTTTCTGTTAAGATTTGTGTTTCTATCAATACTATGATTCTTTTCATTTCTAAGAGCTTTGATTAGTTCACTGAATATTACTTCTTAAAGAACATCCTACTCTTGCGTCACGGATGCAAGGTTTTCCCTCCCTCCCTCTAGTATCCTCCCTCCTCCGCCTCCCCTTCTTTTTCTTTCTTCTCCTTCTTATCTTTCTCTCTCTCTCCCTCCTTCTCTCAATATTAATGACAGTTTAAAAATATGTCCTTCCCCTTGTAAAATCCACTTTCTCCAAGTTGCTCTTTACTCCTTGGTTGTGTCTCTGTCTTTCATATTAGAAGTTTTCTTCAGGTGCCCAGTGATTTGGTTTAAGGTTCCCACTTAAGAGTGGAACACTAACATGTTTGGAAGCTGTGTGTGTGTGTGTGTGTGTGTGTGTGTGTGTGTGTGTGTGTGTATTTATGGAGGGAGGGGGCTTTGCTGTACATAATATGGCTGAGCTATTTCCTTGATGAGCTCCTGATGTCAATGTGGTTAGGTCTTTCCTCTGCGATTGGAATCCGAAGGGCACCCTTTTGTACCCTGACTGCACAACTTTTCCCACCAACAAAGAGAATCCATTTCCTCTTACCTTGAATCTGGGCTGGTTCTGTAACTTGCCTGGACAAGTAAAATGAGTTGGGAGTTACACTGAATGTCTTCTGGCTGTAGGCTCAAGAAGTGCTGTACCTTCTGTTTTCAGCCTCTTGAAAGCCAGCCTGTGTACGCCAGTCTGAGCTTTCCTGCTGGAGAGAACCTGTGGAGAGAGACCTAGAAGATGTGAACTACAGAGAGAAGAACCGAGATGCTCCTGCTAACAGCCAGCACCAGCTGCCAGACGTGTGAGCAAGGCCATCTTGAACGTTCCAGCCCCAGCCCAGCTCTCAACTCAAGGCAGCCACATGAGTAACACCAACGATCAACATACGGAGCAGAAGAAATGCCCACCTGAGCCCAGACAGAATCATGACAAAATCACGATACGCTGATGTCTTGAGATAGTTCATTTTGCCACAATAGAAAAGTAACACAATCAATCCCGTTTTGTAGAGAAGGATTCTTTCATTTCTTTCTGGAAGGTGAAGGTCTGGTTGCCAGTATCCTGGGAGCAGAATGGAGGACGGAGGATGGGAAGGGTCCTTATGCATTTAATGTTCACATTTACTTCATCCCCCTTGTATTGGCAATCAATTGCTGTGCTGCAAAATTAGTGGCTTAAAATAAGTCGCATATTTACTCACAATATTGCAATTTGAGCAAAGCTTAGCAAAGACAGTTTGTGCTTGTTCCATATGACATCAGCCAGGGTGGCGGCTCCTCCAGCTGGAGGATCCAGTTCCATGATGGCTCACTCACATGGCTGGCCATCTGATGCTGGGAGCTCAGCTGAGCTGCTGGCAAAGGGCCTGACTCTCTTCCATGTAGGCCTCTCCATGAAGCTGCTTGGGCTTCCTCACAGTATGGCAGTAGGTTCTCAGAAGGAGATAGTGTAGGCAGACACGCCTTCTTAATGCCAGTGCTTGGGAGTCCCAGGACAGCACTTTCTTTGTATCCTACAGGTTGGAGCAGTAGAGACCCAGCCCAGATTAAGGGAATTAACAGGACTCAACCTCTTGATGGGAGCTGCTTTGTGCCCATATAGGGAGGAGGGGAACTGTTTGGGGCTATCTTTGAAGGTTAGCTTCTATACCCCTGTTTTCAGCACAGTTTCCCTGTCTGTGATTTTGCCCAGTATGTCCCAGTCCAGATACTCTCAGTTTCATAGTCTCTAGGGAATCAACCTCTAGTTTCCCACCAATGTTGGGGAATGGAAGTTGCCTACTGGCACAGAGTGGAGATAGATTTGGGAATTTAACTGCTTATCAGACGTTCAATCTTATCTTCCTGATTTTTGTTTTTAATTGAGGTATAGCATATACAACACTACGCAATTTTAAGTGTATACATTATCCAACTTTTACATATATATTCATCCACGTAACCACTACGAACATGAAGGTACAGGACATTTCCAACCCCCCGAAGGCTCTGCCTTGTCTTTCCCCTGCCACTTCCTCTCCCAGTGGTAACCACTATTCTGGCTTCTATCATTATAAATATATTTTGCCTATTTTTGAATATTATATAGAATCATACAGTATGCATTCTTCTGTTTGACTTTTGTTAGCTGAATATTACATTGTATTTTTAAATGTGGTTTCATGCAGTGTTTTGTGGTTTTGGTTTCTTTGTTTTTGCTATACAGCATGCCAATGTATAGATATAGCATAATTTATCCGTTTTTGGTTATTCAGATTATGAGCTTTCTTGTATTTTTTTGGGAGGGGCATAAGCACTCATTTTACTTGGGTTTATACCTAATGAAATCACTGGGTCATAGATTACACATATATTTGGCTTTAGTAGATACGGTCAAACTGTTTTCCAAAGTGATTGTGGCATTTTACATTCCCACCAACAATGTGCAGGAGTTCCAGTTGCACCACGTCCTTACTACTCTTGATTTCGAGATTTCTCCTTGTAGCCATTCTAGTGGTCTGTAGTGATCCATCATGATTTTTGCCCCATCTTCACTCTCACTTTTTTTTTTTTTTTGGCTGGGTTGGGTCTTCGTTGCTGCATGCGGGCTTTCTCTAGTTGCCGCGAGCGG